AGGGAGGAAGGAAGGGAGAAAAGAAAAAAACAGGGATAAGGGGGAGAATGGGAGAAGATGATGTGGGTGGAAGAGGTGGGCAGACCAAATGCCACGAGGTCTTGCAAGCTCTATGATCATTGTTTATAGGCTACATAGGAGCATTTGGATTTTATTTCAAGGTGAGTGGGGAGGTATTGACTAAAGCACTGTCGACATGATACGAGTTTCTTGAGAGCAGGCACCGTGTCTTTGACATTCTGGTGGCTCCACAGAGCTGACGCCAAACGGCGTTTACAGGGCTGGCCTCGTAGCACAGTGGTTCAGTGCTGTGCACTGGGAACCAGGTTCCACTTGACCTACTGGTGGTTTGAATCCCAAACTCAGTGGCTTGAAAAGCACACTGGGCACAGGTACGTGCATGCCCAAAATCCTGACTAAATGGAGAAATCGAGGGAAAAGGATTGTTGCGTGACCACACCCCAGTGTGGTATGTTCTCTCTCTGTCTCTGTCTCTGTCTGAAGCACACATGCCCTATAGCCAATACATATATAATCAATAATAATAGTTGCTCTGGGGATCAGGCAGCAGTGTGGTGATGGCACAACTGGACCCACAGAGGAACGGCCTGCGTTTGCATCCCAAGCCAGAACCTCTCTGAGCACATCAGGGGCTGGCCAAGACTGGCAGGTTGTGGCAGGAGGACTCTGCTGAAGGTGACAGTCTCTGTCTCTATCTTTCTCTCATGGAAGAAATAATGAATAAAAACTCCCCCCCCCAAAAAAAATAGCTGTTTTTGTCTGATATTTCCACATACGGGCCAGATGCTGTTCCCGGGATCCTCTTGACTCTCACAACAAGCCAGTGCTCTAGGTTCCATTAGCATAGATGAGGAACAGCGGCTCCAGGAGGTCATGGGGTTTGCCAAGGTCACTATCTACTGTTGGAGCCACGATTAGAATCCAGGCCATGTGGGTGTTGTGGATCCAAAGAAAGGAGGCGTGGAAGAATTAGTGAGAAGCCTGGGTAGCAGGAGGGACAAGAAGTCTTAGGATGTTGCGAGGGAGAGGACAGCTGGTCGGACCGTGCTGAGTAGGGAAAAGAAAAGGAAGGGCAGGCTGGGTCCGGGAAGCCACATGGAGAAGTTCCTTCCTTTCGATCTCCCTGACTGTGGAAGGGGCAGAGCTGGAGGCCCCGCTGACCGAGGCTGGTATCCTCCCAGGACCTCAGCTATCCACCCGGCCTGTGTTTTCAACAGACATATCCAGAGCCCGGAGCTCTCCTTAAACCAGTTAGACTGAGACTAGCCGGCCGCATGGTGGTTGAGGTGGCTGGATCCCACATAACCAGCTCTGCTGTTTGAGTCCAGACTAGTGGCTTGAAAAACACACCTGGTGCACGTGCATGCATGCCCAAAGTCCCAAAAGGAGAGAGAGAGATGGAGCAAAAGGGATTGCAGTGTGATCATCTCCCATGGGGAGCGCTCTGTCACTTTCCTTCATGCTCTCTCTGTCCCCCTCCAGCAAGCACAAGCACCCTCTAGCAAAGGGGTGGGTGGGAATTAAATAGTCAGACAAGCCTTAGACCTCAGTGTGTGAAGGAGGGAGCAGAGATCAAGGTATAAGGACAGAGGTGAGGCTCCTCCCGGCCTCAAAAGAAATCCTTCCCATGACTTTCATAAAAGCACAGCTAGAGGGGGCCGAGGTAAACAGGAAAAACCTAGGGGACAGAGCGTGGTGCTAGGCACTCTGCCTGCCTTGAGTCTTCACCAAAGTCGCTGTGACAGATGAGCTGAGGTACAGAGATGTCAGACCCTGACCACGGTCGCACAGCCGGTAAACCAGGACTTACTCCAGAGGCTGCCTGGTTCCATCTCAGGCCCGGACTGCCCAGAAGCATGTGGGATTCTCTGGCTGACCTGCACTCTGCTGTCCCGCACACACATCCCACCAGGCACTGAGCTACGGCTGTGAGCGCGCGCCCCATTTCCCACTGAGCTTAGCAGCTTTCCTGCCTCGCCTTTTCTGGCCTCTATTTTCCCTCATCCCAGTCAGAGGACAAGGTTTCCTGACCACCTCCATCTTGGGCCCCCATTAGCCGTGGCAGTGCCCTGAGGAGGGACCATTCCAAGTCACCCCCTGGAGGCTGAATGTCTCTGTGCCCCCCGGGGCTGGAGTCTGGAAGCAGTGGGAACATCTTCCCTAGTAGTCACTTTCACTCAGGCTGGAGCTCGGATGGCGGGGCTCTCCCTTCAGCTTTACTTGAAAGTGTAACAGTTCTTCTTGGCGGAGCTCTCCCTTCAGCTTTACTTGAAAGTGTAACAGTTCTTCTACTGGGCCAGCTGGGGTGGCGTGGTGGTTAAGGCGGCCAAATCTTACATGGCTGACTATGCAAGTTCGAGTTCCAGACCTGGCAGCTTGAAAGACACGCTAGGAGTGCATGTGCAGGTGCCCAAAATCCTGAGAGAAGACTGGAGGAGACTGGACTGTGGTGAGGACATCCCCTGAGGAGGGGGTGATTTCTCATTTCTCTCTCTCCTTCTCTCTCTTTCCCATCTCTCTCCAGCAAGTGCATGCACCCTACAACAAAAACGAACTAAATAAATAAAAGTTCCACTACCATCCTAATGTAGTCCAAGTCTATCCAGGATTCCCAGCCCCCATGCCCAGGTCCACACTCCATCACTGAGAGCCAAGCCCAGAGCCAACACGGTTCATCACCAGGTTCACCCCCAAATTTCTCCCCGATCCACCCCAGAGGCTCCACACCTCCCTTCTGCTGAGTTCCTTGGTAGATGCCAGGGGGAGGGGGGAGGTACCCTCCCTTGGTGTCCTGGGAGATGCCTGCATGTGTGACTCATGTGTGGCTCTAAGCAATGGGGGCTGGGGAGTATTGGGGGCTCAGTTAGCAAAGCGCCTGAAGTTAGATTCCTGATGCTGTCTACAAAGGAGGTGATGCACAGTCATGGCCCATGTTATGTGTTTGAAGTGTTAATTTTTTTAAGTTTATTTATTTATTTCTTCCATGAGTGAGAGAAACAGAGAAACAGCACCCCCAACAGAGTCCAGCCGCCACAATTCACCCTCAGTCTTGAAGCCCAGATTACAGGCACCAGTGGGCCAGCATTCTCAGGGGCAGCTCTGGGCAGAACCTGGAACTTCGCACCTGGGTCAGCATTCCCGCATATCCCTGGGGGTCAGCTGGCCAGCTAGTTTTAACTCTGCCTCAGCTGGAACCCTGAAGTGTTTATTTGTTAAGTGCAAGCATTGAGAATACACCAACTTTTCAACCCTGCTGGCATCTTGCTTCTTAAATAATCTCTAGAATGGAAGAAGGGAGGCTCTCCTCCGGCCTGTGAAAGGCCCTCATGTGTGGCCCCAAACGGAGATCCAGGAAAGGGCGATCCTGCCAGGAGGAGGCAGCATGCTCTGAAGATATAGAGCGAGAGAGGACCGAGAGACTAAGAGCACAGCGGGTTCCTGAAACTCCTCTGCAGGAGTTCCAACTGCCGCACCCCTGCAGCTGCAAGAGTGAGCCAGGCTGAGGGAGAGGGACAGGCCCAGACTGGCTGGGAGCGAAGAGGCCGCACAACCCGCCCGCCTGCAGCCCTGTGGCCAGAGGCTGCGGCTTCATGTTCTCTGCCAGGGCCAGAATCCCTCCCTGTCCAGCGCCAGACTCCCGGCCAGTCCCCTCAAAAGAAGACCCTGTCACCCCTGCAGAGACAGCACCAAAGAGCAGGACAGGCTTGCTAAAGACCCCAGCGAGGCGGAAGGAGTGCGCTCCCTCCCGGGGGAAGGACAGATGTGGGGTTAATGAAAGGGAGGCAGAGGCGCGAGCTGGCGCGGGGGAGCGGGGGCGTGGCGGGAGAGGGACTCCCAGGAGGGAGAGCACCCGACCACCAGGAGGTCTGTCGCCAAGTCTGGAAGAAGAAGGCGCCGGGAAGAGGGCCCGGGAGGGGACTTGCAGTTGGGCCCGAGGGTCCAGAGCTGAAACTCAACACCCGCCTTTGGAAGGATCGTCCCCCTTTCTCCCCCGCCCCTTCCCTTGCCTTCGCCTCCCCTCCCCTTTCCCCTCCCTCCTTTCTCTTAATCCCCAGGACCGAGGCCCGCGCCGAGGAGGAGAGGGCCCGAGGGGAGGAGGAAGGAACGCCCTGGGAGCCGGGAGCCGGGGAAGGGGAGGGAAGGGAGCCCAGAGCCAGGGGTGAGCCCGGGGACCACGCGCGACGCCTGGAGCCGTCCCAGCCCTCTGAGTGTCCCACCGGCCCCCAGGCGAATCCACGGGCCCCTGGCCCCCACACCTCCTTTTTCTCTTGGCTCATTTTGCTTTGGCCTTTCTCTTCTTTCCCAGAGACACCAGGGAGCTGCTCCCAGCTCTGGGGCGCTCCGGGGGGCCCTGCCCAAAGTGCTTGTGAGCTGGGGCGGCGGGGCCGACGCCGGGGGCCGGGGGCCGAGGGCGGGGGCGGGAGCTCGTGGTCTTGCGGCCGAGGGGGGTACCCGGGCAGGGGCCCCCTGCC